TTCATATCTTGCTGATGACAAAATAATTATGCAAGGGACTCGAACCCCGTATTTTAGCATTGTAATTCCGAAGACTTAACGCTATCCCACCGAGGGGACTCTCATCACATGTTCCAAAATGATGTTGAAAACATTGGTAAATGGATACAACCACATGATTTGGCTGTCTATCAACAGAGGATTGAGGGATGTATCGGATCTTCTTTACGAAACGGATGTAAAAATCAAGACACCATTCTTCCTGTAAAAGAAGTTTAATCGGCATCCTACAGAAAAACAGAAAATTTTCAAGATTTGTCACAAAAGTGCGTTGGGTAGTACAATCAATAAATGGTCACATTAAATAGGGAATATGACTGTGTAAGGTATTAATGAACCTGCCAACTCCTTTTATATTGGATTATGTGAGATGTAACAATTATCTTTGTAACTGATGTCAGCCTTTTCCCGTAGAAACAGCGAGGTCTGCTTTCCCACGACTGATGCTCGAACTAGTAAAGCAGCCCAATACACCCCAGCAGATTCTAGAACCTGAAGGTTTAGCACGATAGAAGTCGGTGTTCAAAATGATTGAAGAATGTAATGTGGTTTTGGATCTTCCACAGTTGATTGCGGTCATATTCACTGGTTGTGTATACCAGTTGAAGCAGGAGGTGGCATACCTACAATAACATCTGTCTGAAGTTGAGCTGTATGACAAGTGGTTCAGTAGTGAAATGGGTGGGTTTCTGCATGCAGTGATTCAGTTTCGACATATTTCAAGTGTACTTTCCCTGGGTTCAACAAGTTAACCCGAGTTACTCAACTATATGATAGCCTGTGTCGTGCAAGTGCGAGAACAGTGGAGTACTGTGCACACGTAGCGTCAATTATATGGTTCCTCCTCAGACTCATAAGATCAGTGTCCATACCTAAAGGTGTTCTGGCCGTCACTTCCATCATCCATACCACTTCCAATTGAAAACAACTGAAGATGAAACGGAGATACTTAATATACACGATATGTAAAAATGTGCCATTTTATGGGCGAATCGTGGATTCTTCGTTCTTTGTTTGTAATTAAGCACAAAGCTACACAATGGGTTATCTGTGCTCTGCCCACCACGGGTATCGAAACCCGGAT